AAAAATGGTCCATGTGGAGGACCCATTAAATATGGTGGAGCCCTAAGTCCATTCTCCATAAAATTCTCTCTATTCAATGTGATGCAGACTCTTCACGGATTTAACTGAAGAACAAAGTACATTACACATATAAACCTTGAAAGGAGTCCATGTTTTTGCACATGCAAATAATGTAAAGGAAGTTTCTCTCACATTATACTTGCAAATTCTCCATCTCTTGTCAGCATTTTGTTTACATATTGTTAAAATGGATTAATAGTTAAATCACAAGTTCCATAAAAAGTTGGCATGTGGAAATATTAAAAGTTAATTTTTTATTTTTTTTTAAATGGGTCACAAGCTAACAATTCCATTTTATTTAACAAACTTTTTTTAAAGTGTGTTAGGGTATACTGTAAAAGTTCGGTTTTCACTCTTTGAAGATACCATTTTGAATGAAAATTATGTTTTAGTCAAGTATTTGTCTTTACAGTTTATTTATTTATGCAAGCATTAGTTCCTTCATTTTATATTGTAGATAATATGGTTCGACGTGTCGAAAAAAAGATCATATTATCAGTTACTTGTAAAATATAAATAAGGTGATTAACGACATAGACAAAATTGAATTATCTATTGTGAAAGGCTGTAGTGTAATTTTGATTCACTTGATCTTTTACTGATAAATTACACTAGCACACTTTGAGTGTATTGAATGGACCTACGAAGGATAAAATTATTTTATACTGATCAAGTAAATAATCTAGACCTTAGTAATTGATGTGTTCTCTTAACCTGTAAGATAATAAATGGCCATATGTATTCAGCACTTACTTGTTTGATTTACCAAGAGTGATTTCTATTTTAATTAGGATGACATACTCGTTATTTTAGTAAGTAATGTTATTCACATGATGTGTCCTTGAAATTGTTTACGGTCACTATGTCCCATTCCGTTGAATTGATGACGTCCCATAAATGAGCTCCGTAAGGGTTTATTATGTTAAGCCCTGCAGCGGATTAATTTCTAACATAATAATTAAGAACTGAGTGATACTAATTTCGGATAAAAAAATTAATTAATTATATTATCAGTAATTAAATTAATTAATGGACGTTATATCTTAAACATATAGAGGTAATTCGATCAATTTAATAGAAACGAATTATTTGTAATTCGAAGCTAAATGGGGAGTGCAATAATATTACTCTAGTGGAATCTTTTATTATGTAATCAAATAACGATTAGGTGTAGAAAAGAGGTCTTCTAGAATATTAACTAGTGGAAGGGCTTGAGGCCTTCTAGAAAGTTAACTAGTTGGAAGTCTTGAGGTCTTTTAAAATGTTAACATGTTGAAAGACATAAGGACTTCTAGAAGGTTATTGAGTTGGAAGACATAAGGTTTTCTATTCCTATTTGAAAAAGGCCATATTTAGCACCTTCTTAGTGTAATTGTTGTAGCTTATAAATACACCAAGTCCTAACACCTCCGATCATATGTGAGTATCCGATTTGTAGTTTTCTAAGAAAGAAAAGTCAAGTGAAAAATATATTAAGAGGTTTTGGGAGTTTCGTTTAGTCACCAAGACTACTCGAAATAGGTGTAGAGAAAATACATCAGAAGATCATAGGGTATTGTTTTTTTCGTTTTCTCGGCGAATAATTTATCAACGGAAAATTCACGACTAGATCTCGGCCCCAGACAACGATTCCTGGCTAACGCGGCCGCTCATGCCCAACGACTAGGCGCACCGCGATGGCGCTCCAATCGGTGACGTTCCAACTCCTAGCAGATCCCCGGTGATGTCCCAGCCCACGACCGTGCAGCGCTCAACGACCCCAGCTTCCAGCGTCTGACCGACCCGCGAGATCCTTGGATAACCCGCGACCAACGCGCACGCAACGCCCGATGCGCACAGCCCGATCCCAGTGCCCTACGCGCACGCACGCTCCCAGCGCCCGACGCGCATCTTGTACGCAGACAGCGTCCGACGCATAGAGACTCATGCGATTCCGGGAGACCCTCATGCAGACAACACTTGGAGCACACGTGACCTGACATCCCGAGGCCCGATCCGGCAATCCCGAAGATAGTTCGACTGCCAGTAGTCTCTGAATATCAGACGATCTCCTACAATAGAAATAAAAAACGACTCAGAGTCGGCAAAATTTTTAAACCGTAAGTCCTAATCCTAGCTATAGATTTCGCTGCGTTAAGATTTAATTTGCTAGATTCGAATGTGCATATCGATGACGTCCCTTATAAAACCCAACATTAGATTGTTGGATTTGAAGATTAGTTAGAATAGTACTTCATCTATTCAATTTATTTAAACTCAAATTTTGCAGCCACGAGTTCTAGAATAACCATACTTTGGTAACCACCATAACCTACTTTATAACTTATTTAGCTAGCTTATAGGGTCTATTTTCCATGTATGAACGATGTGGGACAACTCAAAAGTAATACTCTAACACGCCCCCTCACTTGTGATTCCTTCGAAAAGCCCAAGCCCAACTGGGCTGGATGACGGGTACGTCATCGGACGGTCACCAATAGAACCGGCTCTGATACCATGATAGAAACTGGGGGAAAAATGGGTGCGGGCCCACTATCATGAAGCGCACCATGGAAAAACGGGAAAAAGGCTCATATGAAGCCCAAATGGGGTTCCATCCCAATATCAATTGGTGGAAAAAGGAATAGCCCATTAGTCTTATAAGGTGGTCTATTTTCAATGTAGGTAATGGATGATGTGAGACAACTCACAAGTGATATTCTAATAGCTAGGTTTTCTGAATACAAATAATTGGTTTGGTAGGATGAGCATTTTTAAAAACTCAAAATTTATCTCACAAACTTTTTTGGGTAGCTTTTCAAATAAGCCCGTTAAATTTTATTTTAATTAATTTATCATCTAATTTTACTAAACACTTTTATCATATCAATTAGTCTTTCAGTCATAATCCATAAACTATCAACTATAAACTCAAAATTCACTTATAAACTACCAGTTAACTTATCATCTATCAACTAGTTTTACAAATAATTGGTACTAAGTACGAATTTGGGTGGAAAAACAAAGGCATTAATGACAAAAAAGACAAGGAAGACCTCATCAAATATTCTTGGTACTCTAAGAGTCGGATAGAGTTTGAAGACTTCTAATGATTTGAAAATAAGGGAATGGGGGAGCATTTAAGGTTTGATAATAACTATTGATGACTAGTTCCTGTCAAAAAATACCGTGAAGAAAATGAAAGTGATATTATATGACGACCACTTCTTTAATGAGCAAAAATGAAACCGGTAGGCGTGGTGACCTATCAACATAATCGAATTTGTCATACATTTCTTTTGATTATTTTCCAGCATAACATTTTAATTGAGTAAAACAGTTAGACGAGTCGACCGTCATGCTATGTAAATAAAATTGCATAACAAAGCTTCTTACTTTTCTTTACATCTTTTATAAAAGAAAAAAAAAAATGACATTTTTTTAATTGAAGATGCGTATTTATGATATCGGTTTAATGATTAGGTCTGCCTAACGAAATAACTGATAACCACAAGTCATTTTCGAGAAAAACTGGTATAGGAATCTCAAGCAAGTACCAAAGGACAATTTAGTGGAGTGGACCATTTGAAACCTCCCAAACCACTTCACATCCACAAGAAAATCTCTAGTTTTCAAAGGCAAAACACAGTAACATTGATTTCTCAATTTCACCAGCTGGCAACCCAAAATGGAGTAGAGAATCATTTGCTTTCCTTCCCCTACTAATTCCTAATATCAAACTAACTGAAACTTAATTCATCATTTCCATTTTTATACATTTAATTGTCTACCAAAAGCTTAGCCTTGGCAAAATCCAAAATGCCCATTTAATTGCGAAATATGTCTCTTGATTAGGGGTTTTTGTATGGCAAAAACGTGTATATATCAATCCTGCCTTTGCTAGTATTTCTTCAAACAGAGCAAAAAAAATTTAGTCTTTTAATTTCATTTTATTTTTCAAAATTTACGGAAATTTTAATATTTTCAGATTTTCATGCAAGATATGCTCACCCTTTCATCATCTAATGGGTAAAACATAGGGTGGAATGTGAGGAAGAAAGATATGTAGAAATAGAAACAACTTTTCGAAATGAAAGGAGATCAATGCGTTAAGCAAACATTAATTGATAAAGAACCGAAAATCTAATGCTTAAATTCTATTTCCTATTGTAAGGCTTCCTTTTGAATGGTGTTGGTGTTATTCTATTTCTTTCTATTTTCATTGGATTATTGTTAGTTTTAGTACCAAAATTTTAGGGAATTGGTCCCACGTCAACCTACTTAACACGAGTGTGCCACTTTGGGACTTGCTAACTTACACATGATTTCCACTTTCTGCAAATTCTAATCTCATAAGTTCTAATTTGTGCCATTTTTTAGGTTTTAATATATCCATGCATAATCTTGACCGCCCAACAATGGCTCCAATATTTCAGTTGTTGCAAGGGCGTAGCCAGAAAAAATTTCACCTTAGACTGTATATATGTTGTTATTCGAACGAGTTGTTTTCTAACATAGTTTGATTTGAATTATAAAAGTCCGAGCTTGACTTTTTGTATATTTAAACGAGCCAAAATCAAACAACTAATCGAGCTTGTCTATCAAACAAGTCGAGTCGAGCATGTTCGCGAACAATTCAATTAGAGTTTTGGGTTGTATTCCAGGGCTTAAGATTTATTAAATGAATTGAATTGAGTTTATACGTCGAACTCAAGCTCAAATTTTTATTTGTTTATTAAACAGCTATGCCACGACAATTCGTTTATTAAATGAGCACGAGTTCGAACTTGAAATGTTTGATTCGAAAAATCTAGCTAGACATGTGTTTAAAGAAGTCAAGTGTGAAAGTAATTTTTAAATTTAATATAAATTATATGAATCACACAATAAATATAAAAATTGTAATACTTTCTAATTAGTCATGTTTTATATGGAGATTACTCTTCTTGAACAAAAACTTGTGATTTTAGGGGATGCTTGGATATAAAAATTTTCGGATTTGTTTGGATTATTTTATTTGATTTGGTTAATTTTGAAAAAAGTGGTATGGTTTAGTTGTTAGTAGCCATATATTAAAATAATATTTAAAATAAAATAATTAAAGTTAATTTGATGTAAAAAAAGAGAGAGATTATTTGAAATGATGGTTAGTTAAAATTATGTGAGCTGATGAATAGTGAATTAAAGTTGATGTGGTGGTAAGAATGATAGATTGATATTATTTAATTATATTGATAATATTGATGATAGTGGGTTGAGTTAAAGTTGAGTTAAAAAAAGTGGCTGAGTTAAAAATGTTTGGTTTTTTTGAAAATATTTGTATCCAAGATAGATAAATATTTATTTTTAATTGTTTCATCATTTTTCTTTTAAAATGTACAAAGATGAATTTTCTTATGCACTAGAATTTTAGTTAAATAAAAAACATAATTTATTCAAAGAACTACTATAAAATAATGAAATAGTTCTGTCATTCTTGTTATATGTCATGTCAACTAATATACATATCCCATTTCATTGAATTTGTCAGATAAATAAATGATATTTAGTATTAAATTTTGTATAATCAGCTATCATTTATTTAAAAGTTCTGTGAATATATAAACTTGATTGTAAAATCTATAAATTCAATTACATACTAAGTATTCTAATGAAAGTCCAACACAATCAAATATTGTCTCGATTAAAATTATTCAAATAACATCTTTTTAATCAAATAATAAAAAATAAACACAAAAATACATAAAAGAGGCATAATAATTTAAAAAGAAAAGTAGAAAGAAATTTAAATCATGTTTAAATATATAATTCATTGATTTAATGCAAACAAACTTAACTTATTTTGGGCAAAAATAAGATTAATACTGGGTTAATATAATGTAACATGGGCTAAAATATTTTTTACTAGCATAAATTTAACAAAGTCGAAAAATTAAGACCAGGCTGGAGCCCACCACAGCTTTGGGGTGGTTCCGACCCTGATGAAAGCCCAAGTACAACTCAGTGAGGACAAATAATATCCAAAATTCATTTAATGCACAAATTCTTGTGTGAAACAGTCTAACCGTGAGAGGGGCAACTCGTCATACTATTTAAAAAAAAAAATACATATTTATACTATTTGTGTATCATACTTCAATTTATGTTATTTTTTAAAGTATGATATTTTTTTAATGAAAGTATAAATATTTGTAAAAAGGTATATATCGACCTAATTGATTAGGCCGGCCTAACACGAGATCGACAGTCGCCAATACTATTATTTCCTTATAATCTACAGATTAACTCAATAATAATAATAATAATAATAGCAACAGATAAAATAACTAAAACAGCATCATCTAAGCTTTAAAGCCTTTGATGTTAGATATTCTCCACCTTCAACAATCACCATAATCTGGTGAGTAGAGATAAAGAAACATTTTCGAATGTAATCCAAGTTTTGTGTCTTAGGTCTATAATAATACTAATAATTACATAAAAGGAAAATGCAGTACCATATACATTTTTGGACAGCCCACATGAGTTCCCATGCTGTTGATTGATCCCAACGACAAATGACCTCTATCTAATTCACTCACTCGATTCACTAAAATCTTATCTTGCCAAAACATAAAAATCAGTCCAATTCAGACCTAATTAAACATTAAACGATAAAAGGGGAAAAAAATGAAATTATAAAAGTTAGATATACTTAACTAACTTCATTCCTACCGACTACGGAGTTGAAACAATTTATATTTTTTATAAAAAGAATTATACTACGCTGTTAAAATGATTTAAATGTTAAATTATAATAAAGAAAACTCATGAAAAACATTTATAACTCTTGTTAATATAATAATACTGTGAAAATCAACAATTAGGACCTCATCAACATATAATATTTTCAAGGGAGGTAAAAGAAAGCACATGGGACGGTCAAGATGAAGCGTACATAACATTTATGTGCTCGTGAAGAAATCAAAGCCCATAACTTGATGATTTTTGATGCAGCTTCCATTCTATCTGAATGGTTAACCAGACAGTCACAGTCTTCATGTAAACTCTTAGTTTGTCTGGGCCCACTCGCAACTGAAACTGTATCATCATATTTGAGGTTTTGTCTCAATCAAACTCTGCCATCTTCAGTTGGGAATTAATTTTTTTTATTTATTTATTATTTTTTTTTTTTTTTTTTTTTTTTTTTTTTTTTTTTTTTTTTTTTTTTNACTGATCTACCAGGCATAATTAATGGCTTCTCTTTATTATTCTCTGAGTTGAGATGAGTAATTTGCATGGCGAAACTTGTACCAAGCTCGAAAAGATTACGAGCACCAAAACTACACAGTGAAGTTACTGCAAGATTGTCACTTTGCAACCTACAACTAAATAAAGATATAGCAAACAGTATCTACATTCAAACAACAAAATTAAAGAAATCCAGACAAATGTTATGGAAAAATAACATCATAATACCACATGATCACAAATATCTACCCAATCTTATATGATGAACTTCGTTATTTATTAGAAATCATTCGATCAATTTCGCCATTTTTGTTGTACATAGACACTAATTTCTTTGCGTACGATGGTATGTGCCTGTCAGCTCTGCAGTCATAGAGATGTTGATAAAAAAAGTCAGCAAAATAAATCTCTTTGAATCTTGAACAGCTAAGCAGTACTTCAATTTCAAAGTACCTTTGTCTTCCCCAAGCACGATTGACATAGAGGTAGTTTCTGATGGTGTGGTAATCCAATGAATAACGAGCGAATTCAAGACCCTTTGGACCAATCTTTCAAAATTAAAATTAAAAAAAAAAAAAAAAAAAGAAGAAGATCATCTCAGCACATGATTTACTGTGTAAATACTATTTCAGGAGCGAAATTTACTCACCAGATTTAAAAAGAATGCTATTAAGTTGCCGATGAATCTTGGGGCAGGTTGAGACGGACCTTTGCCTGAAGAGAAAAAAATTAAGGTTCGCTTGAATTTGGCATGCTATATTCATATTATAGTGTTCTCGATATGAATGTGACCTTCTAATTCATTAACTCAATGAAGTCTACAGGCATGTTAACTTAAGAGTTTCAAAAGAGTTCCTTCAATACGCAAATATACAAAGCTCTTCTTTTTCATGATGATAAAATATATTATTTTATGGATCAATATTAATTTAACTACACATAACAATGGTAATTTCAAGTTTTTCTTCGTTAATGTTTATTCAGTTTCTCTTATATAATCATGAATCCATCATATATAGCCAAGCCATAGGTCGATCCACATAAATATGCAATAAAATGCTAGCATTTACCTAATTTAGCATCATCGTCAGCCTTTACAGTTTCCATGACAAACGGATGCCTTTGACCCTAAAGCAATGACAGTTGTGCCAAATTAGTGTTTGTATACAAATACCAAATCATACACACACACACACAAAACGTGAAGAAATGTGCAATTACCTGACTAACTGTGGGAGTAAATTCCAGAAGATCTTTTACCAGATTTAACATCTCTCTTCCACGTTCATTTCTTTCATTTAAACAGAGAAGAAAATAATAGTGAAGAGCCAGTGGAGAAAAGTTAAATAATATCGAGCATATGGTCATTACAACAGAAAAATGTATAATCTAAGGAATAATAATGAATAAAATTTTCAAGAGATTACCGAACAGTGATATATTGTGGATGTTGTGTCATGCTAACTCCACCATATTTTGGCACACCCATGTAACCTACCACCAAATCCTGCAATAGTTTAGAAAAACAGTGAGAAAGAGTGTTGTCCTAATATAATTATTATATTATAATAAGCGTGAATGTTGAATATCAGCATTGGTACCTACCTCTACGTAATTAGTACCCATTACTAACTAGTACAAGAACTTTCTATCCAAATTTATGAACTGTGAGAACAAAAATGGTTTGTGACTAAAGCTATTTATTAGCTGATAATGAAGTTGGGAAATGCCCCCAAAATCATCTATCTATCTATCTATATCTATAACTATCTTAAAAGGACGAGTAATTTCTTGAAAAAATTGAAATGCCCATATTACCCTTTATAAATTTACCTTTTAAGGACATAAATGTAATATTATAACTTCATTACTTTCTCATCCAACATGTAAATAAAATCTGAAATGTCACTACTACCCTCAATAGAAAATAATGTTACTTTCAAAAAGTGTTATATTATGTTACTTCCAAAAAGTTATATAATGTCTTATTCTAAATATATTTATTGAGTATAATATAAACAATTAAAATTGTTTCAAATAACCATTTAAATTATAATTAGAATAATTGAAATATTAAAACACATGAGTATTGTTTCAAAGAATTTCAAATAAAATGTTTTAAAGCATTAATGTGATGTTTTAATCATGAATGTGATGACATAGTACTCAATTTTTTTTCTTATAATATTCCTTGTGTATTTTATAATTAACAATTTTTTAATAGATTAATATTATAAAAAAATTGATCGGTATCCAATTTTTTTAAATGAATGTATTAGCACAACTACATAACTAGGATTTTACATGTACAAATATTAAAATTCTTGTAATGCAAAAGTCAATAAAAAAATTCCATTGATCTGACCTTTTATTGAAACTAAACATTTATCTATTTAACTTTTTTTTCCCAACATCATAACGTATTAATCTTTTTTATTCTTATTTTATTACTTTATTATTAATATTTTATTAAATTAACTTATGGTTCTGATTGTTTTTTGTTATTTAGAAAATGTTTGTATGTTATTTTTTTAATTATTTTTTTAATATTAATGTATTAAATGTTTGTATGTTAATTAATTTTTTTTAATATATGTTTGGAAACTTGTCTTTTAATTTACTTTTCTTAATATTAATGTATTAAAATAATTTATGATTTCTATCCTTATCTTAATGAATGTATGGTCACAACTACATAAATATGGTTTTGCATGTTTTATCTATTTCATTGCTTTTTATGTATATAAATAATGTTTTATCTACACAAATGTTTTAAAATATTTTTTTCAACTTCATAAATAAGATTTTGCATGTACAATTATGAAAAATTCGTGTAATGCAAAGCCAACAAAATAAATCAGTTTTTTAATACATTGATGTTAGTATGATGCTTCAACAATTTAGAAAAGTTAGTGATATATATAAAAAAATAATAAGTATTAAGCCAAATAATAAATATTACTTTTAATTTGTAATACATGTTATTTAAAAATTACCTTCATCATTGTTTATTTTCATCACTATGCCTTCAAATCTTTACTCATATCTATCTTTATAGTTATAAAATAAATTACATGTAATGAAGAGTTTAAAATTTTTAAAGTCTAAAAACTAAAATTATAATTTAGAACATTCTATCATTCCAGTACAAATTAATAATTCCAACTTAATGTCATATATATGATTATTTGATATGTGATATATAATTATACTTGTAGTCTATTCTAAATGTATTAATCTTTTAATGAAATGAGGGCAAATGAGTTACAAATCATCATTATCAACTCTAACTAATATATATATTTAATATTAATTACAATTGAATGGTCACTGTCATCTACAAAATTTAGTAAAAACCCACTGAAGTATATATCATGTGAAACAAATTAATACGTTCATAATCAATTTTTTATATAAATTAATCGAAACTAAGCAAAATAAATTTAACACATTATTTCACTATAGAGGTTTAAATCCTTATAATAATTGAAATGGATTGAAGTTCAATTTTCAAATAACTATCTTAAAAGGGAGACTTATTTCTTGAAAAAATTGACTTGCCAAAAATGCCAAATTAAATCTAAGGCTACTAATGTAATTTTGTCACAACTGTTAGGGAGTTACAAATATTAATAGTTACAATCATTTTTTCAATCAGACATTTTTCATTCTATTTTACTTTTATTATTTGTTTTATCTATGATCTTAATAATATTTTATTATATTTTTTGCGATTCAATAATTCAATTTCTTTTAGTTGATATAAAGACGTTACGATTATCTAAAAAATATGTAAGTTAGAAATAAAAAAAATAGAATTAAATTTATGAAAATAATGTAGTTTTTAAATGTAAGAAAAAATATTATTTTTAAGATTTTTTAAATAAAATATCTTATATTTCACAAGTGTAAAACATATAATGCACCAATGAAAGTATCATCTATAATTTCTATATCATATTTTTTACTATATATCTTTTTGGTTATAGTATTAAAAAAATAAAAAAGAACAATTTAGTGAACATGCATATGTTTAAGAATGATTGAGTAAAAAATAACTCTTCAACAAGTACAAAAAGATAATTTTTGTGGAAAAATTAATTTGTTAGGTGAAAATATATAATCTTAATAGAATTATTTTGTTCAAATTATTCACTAGAATAATATGCAAAATACGATTTAATTTTACCTACTAATAGTATGTATAATATAAATGTTCTACCATTTATGATAATATGTGTTACATAAATTAATCTACCATTTACTTTAATTGTAATATAAATAAATATAGAGTAAGTATAAAATAAAATAAAATAATTAAAACTCATATGTGTACTTGTTAGAAAATATATTGTTGCATTTAAAATAAATTAAATAAAAATAAATAGTACATTCACTTTAAATTTATTTTCATTAGTCAATCTTATTTATAAAATCATCCATAAATTAAAATTTTCACATCACTTCCTTTATAAAAATATTGACAAATATATATAATAATATTAAGATAGAAGTTAAATATGAAAGAATAATAATAGGTACCTTCAATCAACCAATGTTACGACAGTGTATATATATATATATATATATATAGAGAGAGAGAGAGAGAGATAGAGAGAGAGAGAGATGAGTACCTTTAATAATCAAGGATGTTATTGTTCCTAATAATTTTCAAGTATTTTTTTTAAATAATTACGACTTTAAAGATATTTTCAAATATTTATATCTGTTATGTCATTATATCAAGAGAGAAAATATATATCTAAGTATTATAAAATATTATATGTGCAATATAATTGAATTTGCAATATAATTGAATTTGCAACCGTATAATCGAAATAATAAATAACAAAGCATTCAACTATAGTGGGTGAGCTTCCAATCAACAATAAAAAATGATAATTACAAATTATAGTTATAGAAAATTCGAGTTATTTTTCAAGAGTATGACGCAAATGAAAGACATTAAAAAACTATATTATATTGACAATAGTAATGTCATTATTTTAAGCATAATGCCCATATCATTAAATAATACAATCAAAGACGACATAGATTTCTTTAGCATTTAATTTTATTTTGGGTTTTGAACTCAATATTTTTGTATTTAATTTTATTTGTCATAGAGTTCGATTTATAGTATTAAGTAATATATTTTATTATTCAAATTTATTATTGTTTTTCATAAAATTCACCATTTTTTTATTAAATAATGGAAAGGAAATTAGATTATAATATTAAATTAAATCTACTAATGAAATAATATTAAGTAAAAAAATCAACAATATCACGTGCGTAGCACGTGCATCTTCCTAGTTGCTCTAAAAGGACGAGTGGTTTTATAAAAAAATGAACTACCTAAAAAATCCTTATACTTTGACAAATTTTTAATGGCAAATTAGTAATATATCTCACCCATCCTATCTTACCTTTTAAATTAATAACTAATATATTTTTTATAATAGGACATCATTATGTTATTTTTGAAAAAAAAAAAAAAACATTAGGAGCTCCTATGTTCTATATTTTATTTTGTTCTTGCAATGATATGTATAATAAATTAATCATTTATCTTACTAAACTTAATCGGCCAAAACCATCCACAACCACGTGCATCGCACGTGCACTTTCCTAGTTATAAAAAATGAAAGTAAATGAAAAGCACTTCGAGCCTCATAAAAAGGTTAATCACCAAGTTGCAACTCTTTTACTATCTTGTTGTTTTCAAGATTTTGGTAGCACTGTTTTTAAGACCTTCAAAGGAGTAACTTTACATCATCAAAACATGTACGGGAATTCCTTAAAAGCAAATTTTCTTGCATCTAGGAGAAGTTCAAGTTGCAAGAAATGTTGCAATTAGTTGTTAATTGAATACATACATGCATATGTGCGTGCGTGTGAGTATATGCACACGTGCCAACTGCTACGTGCTCGAAAAGGATACATATGAAAAAACAAAGGAAAAAACGGTAGTAAAGCAAAGGCTCATATAGTGCAATCAACCTGTAAATGGATATGGCTTAGCGACTATAATATTGGAGCACAAATATATGATTAACCTTTTGATTAAGTAGTTTGTAACACTCACCGCTAAAGCATTCGTGTAGTCAAAACAGCTGCAACAAGAAAAAAATGTACACATTACAAGAGTGTAGTGGATAAAAACAAGGAAGCACAGATTAGAAGATGTGTAGATAACAGGTCATCGGCTGACCGTAAAAACAAAGTGCATTATGGCATTCAATGAAGAAAGATTGACATAAATCCAAGACATTTAAATTTGCTCTACTAAGGCTGTGAATCAAAGGCAAGAGATGGATTGTAGATTAGTAAGCATAAAGATACAAACATTGTTTGCTGGAGCAGACCATTTTCTAGTTTTCTTAATCAACTTGAACACAGAAAGATATTATGTTCTATTGAATGCAATTTGTAGGAACCATATTTTAGGCACAGAGACTTATACAGTATGGATATTTCAGTCGAGCATTAAGTTCAGAAGGATATCAGAACACAAAGTACACAACTTTAAGGTAATGTTTTCCAATTTTAAACTCATCAAATCGAGAATTATTTTATGCAAAAAGTAAAGATACTACTACCATGAGATATATAACATTAACTATGCTGTTATGAACCCAACGATTAGCAGGTTGCAAGTTAGTTGAATTATTCGGGAATCAGAGACTATTGAAACAAGTGAATAGCATCCCATTCAGGCATATTTCCACAAAACCTCTCACTATTCTACTCAAACATCATTGTTCTATTTCGATTGCAACAACCTTCACTTTCATTCCAACTCTTTTGAATATCCATGGAACTATAAGCATAATAAGAATAAGTAGGGCTATTTTCTGGAGCACTAGTACTTCTATTACAGAATTATCATACCACAATTTCTTGAAAACACTGCCACAAGCTAAATTCCATGGCATTTCCAAGCATAATTGTTAGAACTCTGTTGTGTTTTTAAAGAGAGAACAACAAAATCACACCAAGAATTTCTTTATGAATAATATAGAAAATACAAAGAAATAAATAATTAATTACCTATAGCAGGAAGGAGCAATCACATCAGTTAACTCATTTGCTGGGAGACAGAAATAGGGGACCTGCATTAGTAAGATAATTATAATATTTTACTGAGCAGCAAAAATACCACAACCCAAAGCCAAAAGCCATGAGAAAAATGCAAAAACTAAGTTACCTCTTCAATGTGGCCATCTAAATGCTTCAAATGAACCTATTAAAGAACAAAACGAAGTTCATAAAAGCACAGGATTTTGTGATCCCATAAATTGACCCGCATAATGTTGCATCTACCTCTAGATATTTAAAAGCAATCATTCCCAAAACATTAGCATATGCCAGACATGGAAAACTAGAAAATGATAAATTCTTCATTAAAAATAGGTGAAATGCCATTGCAGATTTTTCAAATCGGGAAAATTCCATCCACTTGCAACTGAAAATTTACATAAATAATTAAAGAAATTACATCATGTCAACAATTTTAGTGCTACGTTAAAATGCATAAGACACATAGGTCGGAACTGTAGTAAGAGGCTGAAATTAGACACCATTGCAGATATGAATTAGGTAATCATGGAAAAATACAACTGAATCATAACATCAGAAGTTCAGATAATACACAGTGCATTGTCTTTCTAATAAGCTCACTTTTACAATTGAGCACACTAACATTAGCTGCAGATTTAACATCAATATCGCAAGCTCATTCTGGTTTATTAATAAAACATCTTAGCAAAAATGGTCTGTGAAATTGTGGCTCACATTTATTTGCATCTCATACTAAATTGAGGTATATTGTTTGCTAGCAATTGTATGTCAAGTGATGAAACTACGTTTCTTAAAATTCTTTTATAAAGGATATCAGACTTTATTCTTCACATTTTTTTCGGCACAAAGTTCTATATAACAAGAAATGGAAGCATCCGAACCTTGTAATCTTGCATGAATTCATAATGAAGAACAGTTTCTGGTTCATTACTGGCAGCCTTCAGAAACTTATCTAAGCCTTCTCGAGTTCCGTTATCCACTGACGAGATAAAGTCACAGAGTGATTATATAGGCAACTTCAGCAACAGAAAATACATATATATATATATGTATGTATATATATTCTCAAATCATTTAGTTCGCCTGTTAGAGAAGCAATAAAAATAAAACAGGCAATTGAAAACTATTCTCATGTATCCATCTTGGATAATTATATGCATTCATTCTAAAGCAACATCATCTGCATAAACATACACTAAATTCAACTGCAAACCTGGACGGGCGACAGTAATTTGTTTTTCTTTTAAAAGCACAATAATCCATAGATGATAATTTAATTTACTATACATCCTTGGTTAGAAAAAACTAATTAGGTGATAGTTCTCGTACTAAAGTGTATGCTTACCTAAATGTAACATGTTTAAACATGAAAAATATAGTTACCGCAATTAGTGCCAAGAACATAAAGCTTTTCCAAATGCAGATGATGCTCCACTGATCTTAGAGCTGCACTTCAAGAAATCGTTCTGCATTAAGATATCATAAGTCACAATGATGGAATTAAATGAATGAAGCATAAGCAAGATAAGAATTATCACATACCTTGCACTTGGCAGCCAACACCACAGAAAAGAAGACGTTTCACACCAGCAGCCTGCAAATGGAAAATGACTGGTTACACCACTGGAGAAGTCACACAAGAGAGTTGATGCAATTAATAAGACATGCTTAGACACTCAATTCCTACTACTAACCATACTGAATGTAGAAAGTCAAAATAATCATTATACTATACAGAATCGACGGAAAACGAGTGAATAGTTGAGCAATACCAGAAGCACATGTATAAGTTTTTTTCCTAAATATATTAACCAAGAAAAATATATTAACCAACTAAAGCTAACAGAGTTCAATTTCTTTAAAGGATCAACTCATTTGTTGAACGTGTCTACATGGATTTGCTTTTTCGTTGAATACACGACATTAGAAGATAAGAATAAATCAAAAATAGATCAGGCATCAAATCCATAGAACTGAAAACACTGTTTGAGGCATCATTGTTCGCCGACAAATTTAGCTTTATTATTCACAATAGATACTCTTTCATTGGTTAGAATACAGTTCTTTATGTATAGGGAAATAAACATTTGCACCATGATATAAGTCAAGAATCTCTTAGGCCTTTACAAAAGAAAACATATCAATAATT